CTGTGATTCCCTAGTTAATAGTTTAGCCGCCAAAATTCTCACGAGGCCGTAGGTGATACTCAACAGGGAGGGAACGCTGAATTTGAATAGGCAAGGCTGAGCGTGGGCAGGGAGTTATTACCCTAAAATTTCAGCTTCCTAGACTCCGCGGTCCCCGGTATAATAATTTACCCGTAAAAAACTTCCACCGGGCCGTACCCGCGGGTACGGGAAGGCTGAATTTGAATGGGCAAGTTGGGCATGGGCAGGAGTCATTACCCTAAAATTTCAGCCTCCTAGACTCCGTGCTTCCTGAGATATTAATTTACCCGTAAAAAACTTTCCCGGGGCCGTACGCGTTACCCACGGGTAAAGAAAGGCTGAATTTAAATTTGCCGCGTCACCAATTGGCGGGAAACACTACGCCGAAATTTCAGTCGCCTAGCCTTTGTGGTTCTCGAGTTGAAAATGCAGGACAAAATGTGGGACACACACACACACACACACACACACACACACACACACATACACACACAAACACACACACAGACAACCCCGTGGTAATACGCGTTTTGTAACGCTGTTACACAACACAAAACGCATAAAAACAGATGCATGCAGCAGATCAGATGCTTCTATGAAGCACTCTAAAGCTGCTCGAAATAAGAAAACAAATTTACCTTTTCAGGAATGTCGACATTAATCGGTGCTATTGGATATCCAAAGTCCTGTTTGGAACAATCTACTCCTGCAGCAACCTAAAAAATAGCACGAAAGAGGACTGGAATTTCCGAGACTTGAGAAAAACGGAAAGCACTGAACAGACTAGTCTAAGAAATGGTATGAAACAGGTATTCTGACTAAAATTATAACCGAATATCCAGGATTAAAGTTCACAAATGAAAAATTCAATACCTGTGCGATTACTAAAGTTCGTCCTAGCACATCTGGCAGATACGAAATTTGAACAATTTTCAGCCTGCTTCCAAAGAAATTATCAAAAAATGAAACTAATAACATATTTACAAGTTGGCTGTTCCCAGTGTTAAAAGCACTACTATATCAGTTTCATTCGCTGAATTAAATGTACGGGGTTTTCAGATCTGAAGAGAAATTACCTCAACCATCACGGAACATCCATTTCTGGTAAGAAACGGAGTGATAAATACCATGAACAGATCATATACAAACATGCACAAGAGAAGCACCGTCAACCACTGAAATTAGTAACTGATTTTACAATAGAAACAGTAAAACGGGGAAAACAACGAGTGCTGAAACGACCGCGCAAGCAGGCTGATCTGTTGAGGCATATCATTAGTATTTCGAGACTATCCTTTTTGAGGAGATATGCGCCCCTCACAAGTTTTCTCTTCTTAATTTCAGTCGTTTCGCCTTTCGAAACTTTTATAAATATAAATTAAAAATATCCGCCTGCCTCTTTTCCTTCCTCCCCGTTCTCATTCTTTTATTCTTGCGACAATTTCAAAAAAAAAAAGCTGCGCAAATTTCACTAAAGTGAAAAATTTTAGACTATCCAGGCACTATGGATAAGATAAATTACTTTACCACAATGAAACATCATTTTCCCTCCCAAAAATATCTGTAGTTTTGCCAGGATCTAATGAAAATGTTAGCACTGGCTTTTTCGAAACGCATGAATATGCACCTTCAAATTGGGAAAACGAATTCCTTTCAAAATATGTATACAAACAGCGATGTTGATGAGATCGAGCAATACAAACGCATACGGATTACGCCGTACAATAAACCATGTAATACATATTGCCGCCGCACAGAGAAAAAACACAACAGATATTACTCGTGGTCGTTCCGAGCACCGTTCGCAGTTAAAAAGATCACGGTGAAATACTGAGCGGGTTATATCGTTCATTGATACACATACCTAAAATGTAATTTTCAATTCTGAAATAACCTGGAATATGATATCTCGTTCTGAAAAAAGAAATATGGACAAAAAATGTTATCTGAGCCAAAAAGCGCAAATTTTCAGCCAATAAAATCCGACAGCCTGAATAAAATCCCTCATCTTAGAGTACAAAAAAAGTCAATACAAAAGAAAAATGCGACATGAGTTTGCTTTCAAGCAACCCTTAAAGAAAAATACACCGTAAGCATTGCCAGCGGTTGGCCACTGTTGCTATTCGCATTACTCTCTAGCATTTCAGCCTCTCAAAGAGAGCGAATCGAGGGGGGGGG